ACAGGCAGCTCTGGGACGGCGGGTGTTGGTGTGCTCCTGGCTTTGGGAGCCCTTGGGATCGGGTTCGCCGGGCGAGGAGGGAGGGCGGGTGGCGTAGAGGCCGGGCCCGTGGCCATGTATTACGGGATGGCGGGGCGTAGGTAGACTCTTATTGAGTCTACGAATTGTCTGTTTGACCCATTAGTCAAAGGGAGATGGGTTGCTTCGACGCCAGAGATGGCGGCGGAACAGAGTGCCAGATTTGCCGCTGTTTCGGTGGCGCGTCGTTGTTCAGCTTCGACAATGGGTCGAGGTTCTGGCGGACAGTCTGCTTTCGTGGCAGCTTTTGGCTGCGACTTTGATTTTGGCGCTGCTATGGGTGCAGCGTTCTCCATTGATTATGATGTGTTCGGAGGAGATTTTGACGATTCTCCAACCCCGTGAGGGACGGAGGATGGTTGAGGAAATTCCTCAACAATTTCGACTGACCCGATCATGTCAGTACCGGGCTCAGCGACGGCGGGGAGGGCTTTTTTCATCCCTTTCGAAACGGCCTGACCAATCTCCGCGCATTTCGAATACTGGGCAAGGCCAGGTAATTTTTCGAGAGCCTCGGGCGGACTCTCGTGTTGTCCAACGAGACGTTTGGACGCCTTTTGCGAACTGGGGGCATGGTGAAAATTCCTGAGCTCGATCACAACTCGAAGATAGATGCGACGAGGTCAAGAGTGGTGGAAAAAGGGGAAATTTCGAAATTCTCGAATTGTATGCGGTGTGAGAGATGAGTTGTTGATTGAAGACAAACGGCATAGTTGCTCAGTTTGGAGCACACTATGGTGCGCTGCATACTGGTTACGTGGGGGACTTTTCTCAACACCTGTCAGTGGTGTCCCCTACGAACCTCCAGCTCTCAATGTAGAGTCTGCAGAGCCGAGATTGAGTAACAAATTCCTCACCTCGATGGGGATTCCCAATCGCTTTCGCCGTCTGTATCGTCTTCATCTCTCAACACATCCCCCTATCACCATTATCATGAAGCTAACCACGATCGGATCAAATGGCAGGGTCGGAGCCCTACTCATCACCAACTCTCGATCATGGAACAAAGGCCATCCGATGAGTTTCCTGAGCGTACCCAGCACCCGATACGGAGATGGCGGATTGGATCAAGTCGGCCTCAAATGGTACAAAGAAGGGAGATGTAGATGGATATGCGCACCTCATGTGTTACCGGTGACTAGGCCTCGCCTGGCTGGGGCTGCAGGTTTTTTGTGACTTTGTTTCCCGCGCATGCAGTTTCCAATTCTACCATTTTTATTTTTTGGGGTAAAAAGTTCCGTGGAAAAGGTGGGTGAATTCCATGGGTAAACACTGAGCTGAATGGCTATTCATCAAGGGCAATATATTAATGATCTTTCAAGTAACAAAAGAGGGTAGGAGCAGTGTACAAGGTGTGGCCTGGGTCGGAGAGGAGCACAATGTGCTAGATAGTCATAAACTCAAGTAGTACAATAAACAAACACACACCCATACTGGTTACGTGAGGGAAGTTCGCGGTTGTGTCACGAGCTCGGGCTGCAGCCAAAAGGGCCGAAGAGGCGATCATCGCCGCGGCGAAGGATGTCTCGATGGCCGAGGCAACAGGTTTCGGAGTGTTGGAATCTGAAGAAGAAGTTTGAGGATACCGCGACCTCGACGATGTCTTTTCTGGGACATCTACTAACCAATAGCAGAAAACCGGCTGGATCAAAGGTGCCTGCTAACCCATCTTTCGCTCACAGCGGAGAATGGGCAAATTTGTCATTTGGAAGGTGTGACGGACGACAGAATGTGTGAGGAGCGCATTGCTTGGGTCCAATATGGAGGAATCTTCTGTTTTTCGGAGTTGATTATTTTCGTAATTTACCTTCTACTTTTTCTGTAGCGGGTCTCGCGGTTGGAATGAGCTAGGTCTGTAAGCAGTGATCCCCGCCGGCTCCACCAGTCTTGTACCTAAAGTGGACCTAGAGTTTTAGCTTAGGATTTTAATATAAAAAATAAAAAAATAGTGGTTACGTGATCGATCTATATGCGAATAAGCTAGGGGATAAGGGACGAGACTCCCCCAATCTGTAACATACGAATTATCATAGTAACTTCACTTTTGCACATTAATGAAGATATCTCTTGTTCGGATTAGGTCCTGGTCAACGATGTCTAGCCTAATTGTGCTATATTGCAGGCTACTGTTACAATTATTCATGGGGTCATCATCAGGGTTGTGAGTAGTTTCGGTTTTGGTGTGGGTTTTTAGATTGATACCTAAGCGTGTCGCATAGTAGTCAGACATGCGACTCGAGTAGCATATGCACGGTAAACCTCAACCCCAAAATGATGATACGAATCAGGCTTTACATGCTACGTCCTGTATGGCTAGCGTGGTTGGAATATGGGGAATTTACCTGTAGATAGATAAAGACGTTGTAGCCCTCTGATAGTTGGGACAAGTCTTCTACAATATTATATCGGAATCAAATCTAGCCACTCATTAAGCAATCTCATGGATTATTTCCAATGTCTGTGATAACAGACATACATATAAAATATCGACAACAACTTCAATGTCGATAATCTCTCCACAAACTATCTTAGCTGTCCCAGCGTAAGTTTACATGCCCAAATCAAATACTAATCAAACCAACCGGCATTTGGCCCCGTAGACTAGTTTGTTTTGTTTTGTTTATTTTGTCCTAAGCTAAAGCTATTTTTTCCACATTGGGTCAAGGACAGATGGAGCCGGTAAGGATCACTGTATACAGGCCTAACTCATTCCAACCGCGTGAACTTCCACATAAATGGTGGTGTTAACAGCAAAACAAAAATCAAAAACAAAAATCAAATTTAGAAGAAATCCCTGTAGGTGCGGATCCCGCGCTTCTCGCCCGTTCCCTTTCCTGTCACATCGTCCAAGTGACACTTTCTGACCTTCGCTGAGAGCAGAAGATGAGCTCGCAGGCACCCTTTTTCCATCTGGTGTCCTACTGTTAGTATGTTGAAGCCTCGACGACTTCACTGAGGCTGGCCTCAACCTTAAACCTCCTCTTCGGATTCCAGAATCCCAAAACCCGATGCGTCCGACATATAGACGTCGTTATTTGAGCCGTGCATCGCCTGAATGGCTATTTCGGCTGCAGCTTTAATTCGAGCATAATCGGCATTATTTTTCTGCTCGGCTTTGCGAATTAACGCAAGCTGCTCTTTTTTCACCGGGCCGAACTTGCTGGGTCTGGCTTTGCAGAATCGTAAGTCCGATCGATGAGGTCCACTACAGTTTTGGGACTGTGTTGGGGCTTTGCACTCCGTTTCCGAGTGCATTTTTGATCCGCAGTTCCAGCAAGCCGGAGCGCGGGAGCAACCGCGTGAGGCATGGAAGCCAAGACATCGTTTGCACTGAACTATATTTCGACGAGGTTGGAAGAGCTTTGCAGCTCCAGAGTCATCGAAGAGGCGAAATCCAGGTCGAGGCGTGGATTCGCGAGGGAAGAGCGCATGCCAGTTCTGGTATGGCGCCCCAGGTTTGCAGGTCCCGTGAGGACGAACAAGAAAAGGAACTGATTTGGTCACTAGCGTGACTTCATCGGCGACCATCTTTTCCGTGATGAAAACGGAATCTGTGAGTGTATTAATTCTCAGCGGGACGGTGGCGATTAGTAGGCCAACCAGATTTGACGCTGGCTCCAATTTAATTCCTGATTCTCTCCTTTCTACGGAGGAATCAAGGAGATATTTTCGAGCGATTTCATCCTTTGCTGTTAGAGCAAAGCCTGTTTTGACCCGCTGAACTATCGTGATGTTGTTAGCCGCGGTACCGAGTGCCTCTGATACAGCTGATCTTACTCCAGCTGGTGCAAGGAGTCGGTGGGGATGGTCGTAATCGAGGCGTAGAAACAGTCGCGTATCGACCGCTGTCCTGGTATTGGCACCCTTTGCTTTTGAAGCCGGCGGGGCTGCCTTTTTTGTTGATGGCCCAGTGCTGTGGCCAAGGCCTGCTCGGGCTACATTCGCCCAAGTTTTCTTTTGGGCCGGAGCCTGGGTTGTCGAAGGGTTAGGTACCCTGATTTCATGAGCCCTCGGCGGAGGAGGGTTGCTGGGGCGCGCAGGGAGAGCTGGTGGAGTGCTCCCTGGGCCGGATTGTATGAAATGGCCAATGGCCGCTCGAAGGTAGACTTTGATGCCGTCTACAAACTCTTTTTCGTCGCCAATCGAGAGAGGCGAGAGTGCTGCTTCAACACTGCTTATTGCAGTGGAACAGATTGATAAACGGGCCTTGATTTGCGTCGTGTGACGCTTCTCGGCCTCCATCACTTATTGCAGCTCCGGAGGATATTCCGGTGCTGATGTCGAAGCTGTGCCTTTTGGGGCTGGCACAGTGAATTTTCTTGCAGATGTTTCTGCTTGTTCTGTCGTCTTCTCTCGGACGACTTCCTTTCCTTTCCTTGAAGTACTTGCCTCCGGGGCAAGCTCGATGGGAATGTTGGTCTTGGGACCAATTTTCTCTGACCTGACGGGCTCAGAATCAGTCATCTCTTTATCGGGAAGGTTTGGAGACTTCCCTTCGATGAAGGCCTCACTCGCAAACATGCTTGAAAGTTTTCGAGCGAGGCCTGGTGTTTTTGCGGGAGCCCTCGGGCGGACTCTCGCGTTGGGGCGCTTTTTTCGAACAGGTGTCATGGTGAAAATGCCAGTGACTCGATCACAATTTTTTGATAGAATGCGACGAGCGCAAGAGGGAGGGAGAGGGGGAAAAGGTGTAGATTCGAAAATTCGAATTTCAAAAAATTGCGTGTGTTGTGCGCAGGCACGACGTTAAGTAATTTAAAAAAAACACCATTTTCTCTAACATTGTGCCATAGCTAGCTAGCTGCATACGCAATTAAAATCCGATGCAAGAAAATATCTGACAGATAAATCCTTCATCAATAACTGTCATTAAATATCGCCCGAACTATCTCTGTACTCCATATTTTCAATACATGCTAGAATCACCAACCGTCCTTCCCCTCTTCATAATCGACCAGTAGATCCATAATTTCTTTGTCATCGTTCTCCCCTTGAGCCTCGAGCCCTTTTTTCTCTTCTTTTTCAGTGAATTTCTCTATGGCCTTTTTCTGTCGTTTCCGAGCCTTAGTTCCCCAATCAGCGCCACTAGCGATACGGTCGTTTTCATCATCTTTTAGATCGTTATTTGCAGAGTTTACTGTGCTGGTACCCCGAAGCTGGTTAGGAGAGATTTTGACATTAACAGAAGCGTCTGTATCGGGAATTTTGGCGTATTGTTTGGCCTGAATCTTGGCAGCAAATTTGAGCAAGTACGGACGTAGGAGTAGGTATCCTCCAACAATTATGACGATTCTTATGTAGTCGCGAAGACGCATTCCGTCCCACATGCCCCATACATTGCGAACCAAGTTATCGCCACCTTGCTTAACGAGTCCTGATATGGCCGACATAATGCTGTCGTGAATTGTATTAACGGATGCAATGCACGGAAAATGATGAATCCTAGCGACGATCTGAGCGTGCGTATTAGAGAGAACAAAATTCAACTGGGTGTGTGCTACTTTGAGTGGTAGAGGTTAATGATGATTCGCCGAGATCAAGATCGTGGTATATTTTTAATCTTTATCGGTTAATGTCTTTCATCAGTTTACAATTGCAAAGTGTAAGAAGCGGTAAAATTTGATGATAATTTGGCGAGATTATTAACGTGGGAAATGAGCATGCAAAAGTGACAAGAATAGATACGTATTCATCGTTGGAATAAATAGACGTGATGAATATTCTACCAGAGCACGGATGTGCACTTGCCGAGAGTTTGTGACCTTCGGCGATATGGCCACTTGGACTATTTATAAGGCCAGGACCATTGGCATGGATGTGGAATGGCGCCTACCTTAGTCCCTGAGTGGCGTTCTTGTTAGTCACATGACGTCGACTTCTCTTCTCATCTCGAGGAGACCTATCATAGACTCAAACAGGATGTAAATTATAATGTGACCCATTTAGTCATTTGTTTACAGTTTGAGTGGGCTAGTGTCGGGAAATTATTAAATTATGAATGCTTGAAAAGAGGAAATTTGCGATTGCAGCTTGTAATTATAAAGAAAATACGACCGAGCTCAATCAGATAAGGGATGGCGTGACTAGGTCAGAAATTCTTTGGTCCGCTTCGTGATCGCTGTGCGGCCTACTCGGGCTTCGGAGATTATTCGCAAGACTTTGTAGGCTATTCCACTACAATTGTCTCTTAATCCTCTGCCAAAGCCAAGAGAAACGCAGGATTATTTTTACACTTCCGGCAGGGTAGATTCTGTATACGGCTCCGAAGCTTGCTTGTTTTTTATTTATTTATTTATAATATTTAACGTCGAGCCCGCGCACAGCACGTGGGCTTTTCACGTACCGATTAGCCCAGTCGAAATTAAACTACCCGACGTGATGGTGCCTATACAAACCCAACAAAGCAGATGAAAGCCAACATCTTATTATCCTGCGCTCGAAGATTATAGTATACATGGAGGTCGTCCGTCCAAAGAATCTTATGCTATGCAGTTGGTACTAAATGAAGAAAAGATTTTGCAAAAAAAATTAAAAGAAGAAATTGTTTACATCAATTCGTGATTTCATTCGAATCAGACATGTAGTTGTGCTCTTTTGGACAAATTTGTCATACGCAACCGGCTATTGAATGCAGAAACTCCCTCTGCCGAAGCAAGAGCCCAAGATACGCTGGGATCAGAATTTTATGCCATGTGGATCTGAGCCTGGTACTGCCCGAGGTGGCAATAAAAAGCGTGGTTTGGGGACTTATACTCTATGCATGTGTAGGTTATAATGGCGTTTTCGTGCTGAAAACGTCGGTGGTAGTCTGCGAAGTTATCATGACCGGACCGTGCAGCTAGAAGATATCCTAGTGTGCGTCGCCCCAGACGGGCGTTGTTCTTTATTTAACGTCGTGCCATCTCACAACACTACCGTTTTGTCGATGAGCTTCTTGCCCGACATCAGGCGTCAGACGACTTGCCACCGTGCACAGCGACAAGCAGCAACCGAATCCAGTGGAATGAAGATATCTCCGAGGAAGAAGTTAGACACTGCACAATCGGCTTTGGTAACACAGCTCCTGGAGCAGACGGAATCTCAGTTGAGCTGCTAGCGGCTTGCTGGAACACAATCGGACCGTACGTCGCTCAACTCTTCCGAGCCTGCGTGAGGATCGGCATTCATCCATCCTGCTTCAAGCTGGCTGAGGTCGTTCTTGTCCCGAAACCTAATCGAGACCCAACGACAGTCAAAGGATGGAGGCCTATCGCCCTTCTTTCTTGCCTAGGTAAAGGTCTAGAAAGGCTCTTGGCTAAGCGTATGGCGCATCTCGCTGTGATCTTTGATGTAACGGGACAACAGCAATTTGGCGCGCTCCCAAAACGCTCAGCAATCGACCTCGTCTCCTGTGTGGTACACGACATTGAAGAGGCAAGCTCCCAAAAGTGGACGGCTACATTTGTAACCCTGGACGTTCAAGGTGCCTTCGACGCAGTTCTCCATAACCGTCTGGTGAGAAGGATGCAGGAGCAAGGTTGGCCAGACTCGATCCTCAAGTGGACGACATCGTTTCTAGCGCATCGAATGGTCCAAGTTCGTCACTCGGGAGGAGTGACCGCTCAACGACAGCTAAGCTGTGGAGTCCCCCAGGGCTCACCGATATCCCCACTCCTTTTTCTTCTTTACATGGCAGAGCCAATGCGAAGCGGAAAGCCAGGTATGAGGTTCAGCTACGCCGACGACTTCGGAATCATCGGATTTGGCCGTACCATAACGGAATCCGCCGCTGCGGCCCAGAGTGAAGTCGACGATCTCCTGGATTGGGCGGGAAAAAATGCGGTTGCTTTCGACACAAGTAAGTCTGAAGTAATCCAATTTCCAGCACGGTGCCGCGAGCCTGCGAAAGGAATCTATGTCAATGGAACCCTTATCGAGCCGGCCGAATATGTTCGCTGGTTGGGTGTCTACCTAGATCCCCGGCTGACCTTTAAGCACCACGTAACAACTTGGTGCGGTAAAGCCTTGAAAGTTGCACAGAGCCTGCGCCGCTTCAACACTGCTCTCCGAGGAGCCGCTCCAGGAGCACTTATTCGAGCAGTCGACATGTGTGTGGTTCCTATTGCGACATTCGGTGCGGAAATCTGGTGGCCTGGTCTCAGACACCCGACGAGAAAAAGCATGACAACCCCACCAACAGCACATCTAAGTGGTATGATCGACAAGGCTTTCTTGATGGGACTTCGAGCTGCACTCCCGGTAATGAGGACGACAGCAAACGTTGTACTGCACAGAGAAGGAGGAATCCAACCAGGGAAAATCATACTGGAGGGTAATCGACTTCGACTGTCAGTTAGGCTCAAAACTCTGGATGACCGCCACCCGCTGAGGATTCGTGCGGCTGTGTGCCCAAATATCGGCACGCGGAAATACAAGAAGAGAAATCGAGGGACTTCGGTTCCTGAAGTAATAATGTCACGAGTCCAGCGGGCGTACCGACAATTACCAAAAGCAGAGCACGCGGAACCACTGCCGCCTACATCCTACTTACCGAAAGCAGGATCTAAGGAAGAACAAATTGAGATCTGTAGGCAATGGATCAACCAGGTGCCGAAGTCGGAAATTTGTGCCTACTCGGATGGCTCATCGGAGGGGAATGGACGCTCTGCTTGGGGTTTTGTTCTAAAGAGAGACGGGCAGACTTTGCTTACGGGAAGTGGCATCAGGCATGGGGGTGAGGCTTTGGATGCGGAAATCACCGGGGCAAGGAAGGCTCTTGAAGCAGCATTGGGACTCCAGAGCGCGACGCAACGAGTCAACCTTCTACTGGATAGTCAGCAGGCAATCAACGCACTCGAGACAGGCAAGTCCACGACAAGCCACGATGAAGTACGAAAATTTCGGGAGTTGTCCAAATCAGCTCGCGTGACAATTAAATGGGTTCCCGGGCACTCAAGAATCCAGGGTAACTTGGAAGCCGACTCGGCCGCCAGGTCTGGCCTACGAATGCTGCCGAGCCCGGAAATGCATCCAGAATCCATCACTCTGGCATTTCTTTATGGCCAAATGAATCGTCTGCGGCAGGCGTTACTCGACGATTGGTGGAACGAAGCTTGCCCGCCCCGATATCGCAAGCTCGACCTGCTCATGCGACGAAGGAAACCACCTGAGCTGGGACTTTCGAGGTTCCTACTCCGAAATCTGATTGCAGCTCGTACTGGACATGGCAATTTCGCGGCGCATCATCGCCGTTTCAACAATCTGGACGCTATAATGGAGTGCGCCTGTGGGGAGGAGACCACTCCTACCCATTTTATTCACTGTCGACTACACGCTCACGTCACGCGTCGACTCAGAGGGAGATCGTCACATAGTGGCTTTATCCAAAAACTTCTCGGGCCAAAGTGTCACGAATTTTTCAAAATCTTTGAGAAGGAAACCTGCTGTTTTGGGTTGCCATCTACAAATTCGTCCTCTGATCTCATCGGGGACAATATAAATTAGTCATACAGATGATATGACAGGAAGGAAGACAAGTCGAGGAGATTTGTTTCCGAACCAGAGATTGGTAAATCTACAGAGCTGGATAGTTTTGTGGTTAGGAGTTTGGTTTTTAAAGGTTGAATTTTTGTACCAGTGCGAATTTTATACTAGCTTCTATTTGTGGAGTGTTTCAAGCGGTGGGATCAAGTTTGGCTTATCAGGGATATTGTTACGGTTTGACCGCTATTAGAGCTTAGGTGAATACCTAAGCGGATTGTTGGGAATATTTACAACTAAGCGGTACTGCTAGTCAGGAGGTCGAAGCGTTACTACAACTAAGTAACACCTGGCAATGCGTGGCTGGGTAGCAAGTATTGTGCCTAAGGATAAGTCATCAGTCTGGAGATTGACGAAGGGGACCAATTCTTATAAATACCTGTTAGTCGTAGCTAGAGTTCTCTTTTCTCCTCATATAGTTTAATAAATCGATTTATTCACAACCAACACGGTTTCCGTCACAGATATGATCTTGGCTGTGAACATCGGTCTTTGACCCTTAGGGGATAACGGGTATAGCCTAGGACCTAAATTAATAAACAAACAAACTACCGTTTTGTGTCCTTGACTCTTCGGGGATAATGTCATGTAGAGACATGATTCATTCATGAGTTGATATTGTTCAGACGATCATGACTATATCACAACGTCATGTACAGACACGATTCATCGTTTGTACCTGTTGTATCAACCATGACTATGTCTCAGTGATATGAGAAACATCATTGACTAGTTACTAGAAACCTAATCAAGATCCTAAACACACAACTGAGACTAGGAGAATTTTACTGAGTAAGTAATTATTCTGATGAATCTAGATCTAGAGGAACATAATCTGGTTGCTTGGCTCGAGGTATATGAACCTGAGCAT